TATATATATATCATTGTAGTTAGTTTATATAGTATAAAGAAGTATTGGCTTTTATTTAAAAAAGAATAAAAAAAAGAAAAAAAAATAAGAGGATCCGTGCACGGAGACCATGAGAGAAATTAATTTTTTTTTTTTAGTTATGTTTTTGTGTTCATTTTCAAGCTCATTATGAGATATCAAACGAAATCAAAATATTATATTCTTAATATCGTTTTGAAATACTCGCGACATAGTATTACACGTCGTTAACGGTGCATGAAACGGTCAATCATAACAAATGTTATGGGACGTCAAAGTAGGCATTTTCAAACTATATTTCGAAATTTTCGATAACAAGTTAACTTTAAAAATTCATCGACGATTGTACGATAATTAAATCGATAAATATTTTACATTCTCTCGAAACTCATTTTGAGAACTATATCGTAGAGACATCGAATGATCTAAATAGATATCAAAAATAGTCAAACGGACATTAAACGTATGTATTAAAAAATACGCATAAGTCGTTTTTTCTTTAAAAAATCAATTATTTTATTACTATTTCGAAATTTTCGATAACAAGCTAACTTTAAAAATTTGTCGACCATTATATAATAGTCGAATTGATAAATATTTTACATTCTCTCGAAACTCATTTTGAGAACTATATCGTAGAGATATCAGATGATCTAAATAAATATCGAAAATAGTTAAACGGAGATTAAAAGTATGTGTTAAAAATGGATTTTTTCTTAAAAAAATCAATTATTTTTTTCTTTTTAATTCTTTTATCTTCCAAATAAAACTTAATTTTTCAATTTTAACGAAAAAGTTATTTATAGGTTAAAAAAATTGAAGAGAAAAGAATTAAAAAAAATTATATATAGTGTGGTTTCCGTGCACGGAGGATTATTCAAATTTTTTTGTACTTTTCTGTTCTCCATTTTCATACGCTATGGCACGCCTTTTCAAATCAACTCATTTGCTTATATTATTATATTAAATATATAGTATAAGAGAGACAATGTGAATTTATGTAACACGCAACTTTTCATAAATCTCGCATTACTCCGTGCTGGCCACTTTTATAAGTAAAAAAAAAAAATCACTTTTAGTAAAAAAAAATGTAAAAATAAACATATTAACAAAAAATATTTCTAATATATGTAAAAATTACTTATATAAGTAAAAAAATTCGTTTAAAATTATTTAGAAGTAAAAAATAAAATAAAGTTATGCAAATTAAATGAAGAATATATAAATATTATTTAATTAAAATTGAAAATTTTACTTTATAAATAACTGGTTTTTTATCAATTTATTTAAATTTCTTTTTAATTCTTTTCTTTTTCAAATAAAATTTATTTAATTTTTTTTTTAAAATTCTTTTGCCCTACCAACCTTGAAGTGACTGTTGTATCGTCTGAAGAATAGGCCTGCTATTAGGGTTCTAATTCTTACACCAATAAGGGAGTTGGTCATCCAGTAAGTGTCACTTCAAGTTATTTTACGTGCAAACCTAAATTTGTTATTTAAATGTTTGTGTATGTGGATATTATCTTTCAATTTACAACTGCATGAGTTATTTTTGAACTACAAGTATAGCCTCTCGAATCGAAGTTGCTAAAGAAAAGCATTTTGCGAAATTCAATTTACAACTTATTTGCAATATCAGATTAAAAAAATCTTCATCTACATTAAACAAAAAATACAATAAATAATTAAAAATAAATTATCATTGACATATATACAATCACAACATTCATTATACTTATTTATAAGAATAAAAATAAATTATCGTGACATAAATATACAGTTAACCAAAAGATGAGAATCAAACAAACATTTCTTATTTTCAAATACTTTTTGTACAATCTATAAATTCTACACTAATAAAATCAAAATAAATACAAAATCCGTGCAACTCGCGAGATACAGACTAGTTACTAAATAAATTGTATATCTTCAGATTAGAATAGTGCCCCGAGTGGAGGTTTCCGCTTTGTTTGTTGTTTTGTTTTAAATTATTTGAATTAATTAATTAATTACATCCAACTAAAAGTTGATTCCTTATAATCTTATTTAATAATGCAAATTACTAACCAAATCATGCAGATTCTCTGCCACTAAAACCCTCTTAAATATTCATTAAATTACTTAAGGTTGTACTTTTTCTCAATAATTGGGATCCCATCCCCAACCCTATCGGAAAATATGGTCCTTGCCTCGAACCCATCCCGATTTCTATTTTTAATTTTATTCTAATTTTTAAATTCAAAAGGTATTTAAAAAATAAAAGTAAAAAAGTAAAGGGGGGAATGGGATGGAAATTTGGTATATTTTAACCTATCCTCACTCCCACCTCTCAAAAGTGTGTGTGTGTGTATTTGTTTAATTGAGTAGTCCTAAAAAGTAATTTTGAAATCGAATTTATAAAGGTAATTCTGTAGCTACAATAAGATTGAAACAAAATCACTTTGTCTGTTAATTTTTAACTCGAATGGAATCGACTCCGACAGTTCAATCAGTTTGAGTTGTTGTGTGTAAAATGTTCACCTCTACTGAAAAATATATAAGAAACATATTTACGAGTAAACGTTTCAATATTCTCTATTAAATTTTATCAAGTAAACTTCATAACGTTTCAAGTTCAATCTTTTTCTATATCATACATACTGAAAAATCTCCATATTCTATTTGTTTCTCTCGGCGAGCCTATAAACAACTAAACTTTTGAAAGTTGTTCGATCTTACGAGTTTAATAAAGTAGTAAATTTCTAATTTTAAATTATTAAAAATTGGTATTATTTTTTGTATTATTATACAATAAGTCGTAACGTAGTGGGCCGCATTTCAACGTAATAAGTCTGGCGTATTTGACTTATAGTTCAATGACTATAGACGGACAAAAAATTGAATATAACATCATTGAAGCACTATAATAATTGCCATAATTAAAGCACTAATCCCACGAGTACAAAACTATACCGTAAAAACTAAAATAGAAGCTATGTGAAAAAATTGACCAAATCCAAGGCGTTCAACTTTGACCTTACTTATTTATATGAAAGAATATGAGGCAAAATCTTATATATATATATGTCACATCAATGAGAAATCATTTTTTGAACGATTTTAACCTCTCTACAATTCAATTATTTCAATAATACTTTATTTTACATTTTTCTATATGTAATAAATACTGTAAAATTATCGTCATTTATGAAATTTTTGTTATTACTTCTTAATTAATTATCAATCACATTAATTTAGATTCAATGAATTTTCACTTGATGAATCTTAGATTACATGAATTTATAGTTATTATAGATGGATTTAGTCATATTCATGTGTCTGAAAATTTTAATGGGTGTTTAAATTTATGTATTAACAATTAATTTTTATGTATCAAATGTAATATAAAAAGATTGCTTATATATAGTATTTCATTATTTAAAAAAATTGAATAATATAAATTGAATTTTGAAAGTACAATTTGAGTATAATTTTTATCTCTTAAATTTCTATGCTAAATTAGATTTTCTTTAATTCGTCTGAGATTCATCAAATCCTCCAACAAATTGGTATCAAATATTACTTTCACATCACTTATAAAGTATTTTAAAATAATTTGTAATGCACGTTCAACTTTGACCAGTCATTTACAAATAGGAGAAGTAATAAGAGGATTAGTGGATCGGGATCCCACACAATGTATTAATAATAAATAAGCAGTGGCTATAAATGTGTAGTTAATATTAATATTTGACTTTGGCTCAATTATAAATTGATTTCCAAATAGTAGCTTACAACTCGGGCATTCTAGTCCACAAACAAATAGTCGACTCAGGCATCAAAATAAGGCCTAACTATAAGGATTGCAAATCTTCTTTGTTGATTGTCATGTTTGCTACACAATTTATGATGCTAGGGATCCTCAGAAGAGGTTATATCATAACATACTCATGTACTTGCTCAGTTAGTTGATTAACGTGACTTATTATAGACTAATATTAAAATTCTGGATACCAATGAGAAATCAGAAGAAACTTAGAAACTCATAATGATTTGATTGTTTTTTCATTTTTAATCCTGTTCAATATTACATATATTAGACTATCAATGACGTTACAAACTTGTAAGTTCCTCCATAGCTTGTGTTGTGTGCTTGAAAGATTCTCGAGTTGCTATTTCGTAGTTCATTAGACTTTCAAACTGATCTCGAGATTAAGGGACACATGAAGACAATCAATAACACTAGAGGTGTTCACGTGAACCTACTCAATAACACTCGATACATTTTCGAGCCGCCTCTAAGTTGGGAAATAGTGACACGTATAGAGACAAAAGGACAAGGGTTTAATCAAGAAAAAAAGGATAAAGTCATTTGTACATTGTTTTCCTTACATCATGCTAGATATTCCAATAATTTTCAAATTAAAATGGACGAGAATGTGTGTTAGGTTTGAAAATTGTCCAATGATGTCAAGACACATGGCACAATATAAAGAATAATATAAAAATTAATGTACAAGTACATGATTCAAAAAAAAAAAGTTCTCAGTGGTGAACGAAGATAACAGATCACCATTGATTAAAACATCCCCCAAAATTATACTTTATTTATTAACTGTATCCCAAATTACAATCCCGTGTTCTCTGACTAGGAAAGTAAGAACACTGTTTTTTCCCACTTGCACCTTAAATTATTTGTTCAAATCCCTTCCAAGAAACCTCTATAAAATCAATCTCAATTTCCCACTTTTCCTTGCCAAGAAGCAAATCCAAAGTTTTTTCTCTCTATTTGATCACGGATCCAAAAATTTCTTAATATATTTCCAAATTCGTGAATCCAGTCAAAATCCCAGTTCATGGATCTCGAAATTCTGAAACGGAATAGCGAATCTATAATAATCCGTGAAGTGTGGTCCGAAAATCTCGAATCCGAATTCAGATTGATCTCAACCCTAATCGATGAATACCCTTTCATTTCAATGGATACAGAATTTCCGGGTGTTATTTTCAAATCCTCAGGGGTGGAATCCAAGCACCACCACAATCGCCATGGTAGGTCATCGCCGTCTCATCACTACCAGATCCTTAAGTCAAACGTCGACGTTTTGAATTTAATTCAGCTTGGTCTAACTCTTTCTGATGCTTCCGGGAATTTACCGGATCTGGGATCCAGCAACCGGTTTATCTGGCAGTTCAATTTCTCAGACTTTGACGTGGAGCGTGACCTACAAGCGCCGGACTCGATCGAGTTGTTGAAGAATCACGGGATTGACTTTAAGAAAAATCGGGTTTCCGGGATAGACTCGGCGGTTTTTGCTGAGTTGATGATGAGTTCGGGTCTCGTGTGTAATGACTCAGTGAGCTGGGTCACGTTCCATAGCGCGTACGACTTCGGTTACCTTGTGAAGATTCTCACGCGCCGACTGTTGCCGACGGATTTGACCAACTTTTTACAAATTATCAGGGTCTTTTTCGGGAATAACGTGTACGATGTGAAATATTTGATCCGATTCTGCGAGAGTCTTTATGGCGGTCTGGACCGGGTTGCCAGCTCTTTGAAAATAGATCGGGTTGTGGGTAAGTGCCATCAGGCCGGTTCAGATAGCTTGCTGACGTGGCACGCCTTTCAAAAGATTAGAGATGTTTACTTTGCAAAGCGTGGGCATGAGCAATACGCCGGCGTTTTATATGGATTAGAAGTGTCTTGACTAGACTTTAGAGATTGGGATTAAGGGTATAATAATTCTTTGTTAATAATCAATTATAATCTAAGAAATTAAATTAATTATCCATCTTCATATTCTATTTCAATCGAGATAGTTCAATGTATTAGTGTTTTACTTTAGAGGGTCTAAAATACTTTTAAGAAAGTTTTAGGTTAATATACAAACGTAACGTTGCAAACTGCGAACCTAATTCCTCATAATCAGTGAGAAGTATGAAAATTGTGTAGTATGCGATAGAGAAACAAAGCTCAACATTTATATGGCATAAGAGAGCTCGATAAATTGTATGCGAAACCCAAATATATAGTAGCCCAAAAACCTTGCATGAAAAGGTATTTGTAGGAGTAACATAAATGATATAACTAAACAAGAAGAGATTAATTCATATAGAATTTCGAGAGTTCGACAAGAAAACATGACTAGATAACTTATATATATATAAATAAATAATTACTTCTAGTCTATGCTAAATAAATATAATGGACTTTGAGGGCTTTTCAAATCATCTTAGTGAAATAAATATAGTGATGGTATCATCTACTAATCAAGTAATTATTCAAGGGGTAGTAAATACTAAAAGCCCGTTTGGTCCCCATTTTTTAAAAGGAAAAATTTCAGAAGTAAGAGATTAATTATGATAGATTTCAAAATTAAGAAAACAAGTTTCAAAATTCAAAAATCAGATTTTTGTTAAAATTTATTTATGATTTAATATTTAATTAATTATTTTATTAATTTAATATATTTAGGTCACAGTTTTTTGTCACGATTATCTAATTAATTAGTCATAAATTAATTTTTAGTCACAACTTATCAAAAAATTATTCATAACTTATTTCTCGATCACAGATTGAAAATTTTATAGGTCGTAGAATATTTTTCGATCACGAATGAAAAAAATTTACAAGTCACGAATTATTCATCTTTCACATATCAGATTAATTTTAGTCACAGCTTATCAAAATTATTGGTCGTAATTTATTTCTTGGTCATAGATTGAAAATTTTATAGGTCACAGAATATTTTTCGATCATGAATCCAAAAATGTTACAGGTCATAGAATATTCATCGGTCACATATTCAAAATTTTATTGGTCACAATTCATTTACTCATTATAAATTATTGAATTAATTGGTCACAATTAATTTTTCGATCACAACTTAATCAATTGTGACTCACAGTCACAATTTTCATGTCACATATCCAATTGCGAGTCACAATCGAGAGTCATAGATACAGTCACAATTTTCAGCACAACCACCATCGCTACCACCGTAGCCAGCAAAACCCACCCCAAATTGCATCCACCCATTTTTTTAAATCGCCACCGCAAATGCCACAGCCAGCACCGCCAATGTCACCCATTTCCACAACCACCACATTCACCACCACAACAGAGTCAAGCAATTTATTGGTCACGAACACTATTGATCCACCCGATCGACGCCGACGCTACCGCCACCAACACCATGTCGCCATCAGCCCATTGCCTGCATCGCATCCAACAACCAAGAAAAAATCAACACCACGATCTGCAGCTATGCCATTGCGATTTGCAAGCCTCCGACGACACTCACACACCACCACAGCCACCTTGACCGCTAGATCAGACACCATTGCAACACCTTAAACAACCCATTGTAACACTTCAAACAAATCACAGACATCCCTCTGAGTCACCACCACCACACAACTCATAGTGGATCTACTGCAGAAATAGGAGAGGAGAGAAGAGAAGAGAAGAGAGAGAGTCATCTGCATCATTGGAGTAGAGAGTGGTGAGGGCGACATTGCTTCAATTGGCTTCACTCCGACGCCAGCGATCCACTTGTTATTTTCCCCTGTTGATAGTCAGCAGTTGAGAGGTGAGATGAGAGAGAAATGAAGAGAGAGTGTGAGATGAGAGAGAAAGTAGAGAATGAGATGAGAGAGAAAGAAGAGAGAGAGAGAGAGAGAGCGAAAATTTTGGGAATTAATTAGGGTTTGTATCTAATGAAGTATACATATTTAGTAAAAATATTTATTTAAAAAAATATTAATTAAAATAAAATATCTGATTTTTAAAAGATTAAACTATCTTATTTTAGAATTGTGAATTTTCAAAGTATGGAATTTTGTAATTTCCACTTTTTCTAACTACTTATGGAAAGATGAATAAAATTCACAGCTGCAGGATGTTCCTGGTTCTAGTAGTGGCCAGAAAGCACTATTTCAACAAATTCAATCAGTGGGAACATCCAGAAAAAAAAAGATAAATAAGAAAATAAAGTATTCAGGTTATCCGTTAGAAGACTATCTCATGGAAAGATATACAACAATAAGAGAGTGGGTGGTGCGGAATTCTTCTAGGTAAGAAATTTGATTGTATTTTATTGATTGTATTACATTGATTTAGTATTAATTTAAACTACAATATATACATATAGTGCATACTGGAAAATTCTAGGAAGTGACAACTTATATGGAAGAGATACAATAAAAACTATAATGGATGCAACCAAAGATATCAATATTGAGATTAGTGAAGTTTATAACTCTGGCTTAATTAATTTTATTACACTCAACATATCTAATTTATTTCTATTTATTGTATTAGCATATAGAAATGAAATTAAAGCTATTGAGAGAGTTGATCAATGAAGGTTACACGAGGGGTATACCCCGCATCTTCATTGTTTTTTCTAAATACTATTAACAATATTTTGAGCTATTTGAAATTTTAAATAAAATATATATTATTTTGGTTAAAGATTAGTACAAGAAACAAAAAAATATTATCTCTTTTTCTCATTTTTTGTTCCAACAAAATCTTACAAAACATTACGAATCTTGCAGAGTCATGAGAATCCTGTAAGAAGGTGCCAAAATCACTGCACATATTATGTCTATTTCTACAACTGTGGGAATACTTTGTTTATTCTACGTGTGAACCTCTCGTCAAATCATTGAAAAAAACAATGTACATTTCTTTAGTTTAAATACCTTCACATACCATTTGTTCTCACCAAAATTTTTTTAATATTTTTACCTGCCACTTACACCAGCCCAACTTTGCTCAAAAAATTCAGGCATCGTCTATTCTTTTTTCTTAGCTTTTTAGATAGATTTTTAGTTTTACATAATGTCTAATTTCCATGTTTAATTGTGTCTTAAATCATATGATACATGTAATTCTTTCTAAATTTAGTCGACACAAAAATGGATGTGCCACATAGCTTCTCCAAAATCATCGATGTTTTACTAAATCATAACATTCGTTTTGTAAGTTATATAATAATTTCTTTTTCCAGAATTTTTAAAATCTTTTATTAATATTAATGTACAATTTATATTTTTTTTCGTATTTGTAGATGCTTCCTACATCTTTTATCAATTACTGAGAACCAGAATTAGGTAACACACTATGATTAACTGCATATGATGGTATAATTATCATAGTACAGTTAAAAAGGATTGACGGAGAAATATATCTGGCTAATGGATGGGAAGAATTTTTCGATCATCATAACTTACAGGATGGTTATGTTGTAATATTTAAATCTAATGAAAATTTAATGTTGAATATGAGGATATTTGATCATACTAGAGCAGAGATTACATATGACTCCAATTATGAAGTAGACGACGATTTAAATATGGATAATCTTGCGTTTGAAGTAAAATTAACGCTGGATCATAACAACCATCGAGAAATTGTTGGTGTTATTTTTAATACGGCATTCTGTATTTAGTTATTCCACATTATTCTTAATATTAGTAAATCATTAATCCGTGTTTTTCAATCTATACCAGAAAGGTTTGCAAAACACTATTTGCCAAGACATGTGTAAAATATTCGAATCCTCGACTCTTTACTTCACTACTGGGATATCACTGCAAATTCAAGAGGAAATGGTGTAATGCGCCAACTTAGTGTAGGTTGGGCAGATTTTCTGGCAGACAAGCAGCTACAAATTGGCGATACATGTGCATTTGAACTATTATATAGGGAATCTCCAATATTTATGGTTTACAAAAAAAAAAAACCATAATAATAGGACTCTAATACGTCTATAAAACATTTTTTTACGGATGATATTCCTAGCCAATAATGTTTATTTTTTATGTTTATGCAGCAGTTAATTATCTCATCGACAGTTTCATAGACTATATTTTTTCCTTTCTTTTTACTGCAGTGTTTTTAACTAAAATATAACATTCTTTTTGCCTATAGTATTGATGTTTTTGGTTAATTCTACAACTATCAGAATTTATCCTCTCGTATTTGAGTATATTGGGAATTAGACATTTGGTTATGCATAAGAGATCGTGTATAACTCTCTCGAGAAAGTGTTGCTATTTTGCTGAATTTGAATTTTGACTTCCAAATAAATGGTTAACGAAGATAATATATATTTTTTAAAGAAAATAATATAGATTATATTGAGCAAATTATCGGCAGTTTTATTATGTTGATATATATATTTTTTCTTTGCTTTCTTAAGCTTCAAATTTATTTACATTTGAGTTTTTGTTCCATAACCCAATTATCAACCTCTCACATTATTTGGTTTTCTTTATTTAATAATCGATAGTTTTACGGACAAAATTGTTGCGTAAAGTTATTTAACATATCATTTTATTTTGATTATTACCTGGTTTCACCATACCTATTCTGAATATTACTTCTGAAATACTGCTTGATTTCACCATACCCATTCCGTTTATTGTTTGAATTCACCATACCCATTCTGATTGTTGCTTGAATTCACCATGCCGTTCTGATTGCTTTCCATATCCATTCTATTATTGTTTGATTGCGCTAACCATACCCTGGTTATTGTTTGATTCCACCATACTCAACAATCTATATCTGTACTCAAAAAGTTCGAAAAATTTATTTGCTTGCGTAGTTAATAGAAGTTTACTTGGTAATACCCATAGCTGTAAGGTTGATTTGACCATAGCTGTAAGGTTGATTTGATCTTACTTCCTAGTAGTGAAGTAAAGAGTCGAGGATTCGAACATTTTGCACATGTCTTGGCACATGGTACTTCCTGGTATAGACTGAAAAACACGGATTAATGATTTACTAATATTAAGAATGATGTGGAATAAGTAAATGCAGAATGACGTATTAAAAATAACACCTACAATTTCTCGATGGTTGTTATGATCCAGCGTTAGTTTTACTTCAAACGCAGAATTATCCATATTTAAATCGTCGTCGTTTACTTCATAATTGGAGCTATATGTAATCTCTGCTCTAGAATGATCAAATATCCTCATATTCAACATTGAATCTCCGTTAGATTCAAATACTACAACATAACCATCCTGTAAGTTATGATGATCGAAAAATTCTTCCCATCCATTAGCCAAATATATTTCTCCGTCAATTCTTTCTAACTGTACTGTGACGGTTATACCATCATATGCAGTTAATCGTAGTGTGTTACCTAATTCTGGTTCCAGTGATTGATAAAAGATGTAGGAAACATCTACAAATACGAAAAAAAATATAAGTTGTACATTAATATTAATAAATATTTTTAAAAATCTAGAAAAAGAAATTATTATATAACATACAAAACGAATGTTATGATTTTGGAGAAACTATGTGGTACATCCATTTTTATGTCTACTGAATTTAGAAAAAATTACATACATCATATGATTTAAAATACAATTAAATATTGAAAATTAGACAATATGTAAAACTAAAATCTATCTAAAAAGGTAAGAAAAAAATAATAGACAACACCTGAATTTTTTTAGCAAAGTTGGTCTGGTGTAAGTGGTAGGTAAAAATATTTCAATTTTTTTGGTGAGAATAAATGGTATGTGAAGGTATTTAAGCTAAAGAAATGTACGTTGCTTTTGTCAATGATTTGATGAAAGGTTCACATGTAGAATAGACAAAATATTCCCACAGTTGTAGAAATAGACATAATATGTATAGTGATTTTGGCACCTCCTTACAGGATTCTCATGACTCTGTAAGATTTATAATGCTTTACAAGATTTTGTGAGAACAAAAAATGAAAAAAGAGATAATATTTTTGTTTCTTGTACTAATCTTTAACCAAAACAATATATATTTTATTTAAAATTTCATATAACTCAAAATATTGTTGATAGTATTTAGAGAAAGCAATGAAGATGCAGGGTTTACCCCTCGTGCGAGTGATGTCGTATCCTACAGATTTGTGCGAGTACCGCACGAGGGGGGACATTCCGCACATTTATGTGCGGGGGTAACCGCACTTTGTGAGGGTGTATGGGCTACCTCGCACAATTATGTGCGGGTACCTATGCGCACAATTTGTGCGGGCCTACCCCGCACAATTATGTGCATTTTTGTGCGGGCTACCCCCGTACAAATTGTGCTGCGGTAAGCAGTGTAGCCCCGCACATTCTCCGTGTGCAAACGGGAAAATAGATATCTTCGCACAGCAAGTTAGCACCAAATTCCTGTGAAAGTTGAAAATGGGAGTTTCTTACATTTTGTTAATACTCAAATGTGGAAGAAAGAAAAAATTGCTTATCATTGTGCGAGTGCGGACACACCACACATTTTCTGTGGGCACATCCCCCACATTTTAATTATAGTTTCATAGCTATACTAATTTTCAATTTTATGATTAGTTTTCATTAAGCATTATTGTTTTGTTAGTTGTTTATCAACGTGAATTTCAACTTACCATCTTAAAAAGTTTTAATTTTGACAACTAAATATAAGAAATCATGTCACTTACAAAATAAGTTTTTGTAGGTATAGATTACTTGGATGAAAATAAATCTAAATAGAAGACAAAAATAAATATAATATTTATCAAAAAAGCTTGCAACAATAATTGATATTATCTAGCACCCATAAAGCAAACCAAACATCCTGATGTATATATCATTTCTAATCTAGACAGTTTAAACACTACATGATTTAAAAGAAGAGAATAGTTGTTGCCAAAAACTTCTCAAATATCTCAATCATCATCCACCCATTTTTTTTTCTTTTAGTGCAGAAGAACTTGTGTCATTTATGTCTCCATCACAAGTTACCTTTAAATCTGAATACTTGAAAACTTGGTTTGCCTCAGGTAACCAATTTTTGAAAAGAGTATGCTCCAATAATTTTCCTATGCACCAACATTTCCTTGACTTTCTTCTCATAAATTTGAATGTCCATATGCTGCATAAATTAAATTGATTTAGATACTCTGAAAAAAAAAGTTTTGAAGTAGAACGTCACTTATATTTTGAATAACAATTTCAAAATGCTAATCAGTTAGAATTCTTACAAAAATGATCAACTACATTCCACTCATCAACTTCTAAAAGTGCTACCTTCATATTCTGCAAAGGAATATTAGATAGTATATTTCTGTAAAAAATAATTCCAGAGTCAAAAAGACTAATATTCTAAAATCAACATTCTATCATAAATATTAGCTGTTGGAATGAATTCTATGTTTACATTCTTCTTAGATTAAAATTGATTTTAAGCTCCTTCAAAACAGTTAACTGTCATGAATCAAGTTCAAATTTTCATTATAAACAATATTTTTTGTACAACAACCATGTGATTTATTTTTGCTAGAAGGTTTGATCAAAACTTTTATATCTTTTCTTGTACTAGCTCGGGATAATACAACATACAATTGATCATGGGAAAATACATCTTCCGGAAGATATAAGCCAACAAAATCTAGAGTTTGACCTTAAACTTTGTTAATAGTCATTGTAAAACAAGGACGAAGTGGAAATTGAGTTCTTTTGAAGGGTATTGATTGTTTATCACCTTCAAGTGGAATAAATGGAATTCTAGGTAAAAAAAAAAAAACTTGCTGTCCCTGACATTCTCCTGTTCCAATTTCAGCCAAAATCACATTTTGTCTAAATTCACGACAAATCAGTCTTGTTCCATTACATAAACCTTCTGCAGGATTAATATTTCTAAGCAACATAACTGGACAATTTCATTTCAGCACAAGTTCATGTGGAAGAATACCATTCGGAGTTAGACAATTTAAAAAGTCTTCATGAAAAAATCCTTCACTTTTATCAATTATTTCATCAAAACTAAAATAAGTAAACTTCTCTCCTGAAATTTCTTTTAGCAACATGTTGTTTACTAAATCCACATATTCATTTTTTGGGGTTAAAATAACTCTATTTATCATAATATTTAGATTGTCTCCATATGTTTGGAAATTGGGAAATACAATGTTAATTAATTCCTTCAGTGATTTAAACTCATCTTCAAACTTGATGGTGATATTTTGAGGAAGCATAATCATCTGGCATTAATGTTCTTTCTCAATTCCATTCCCAATTTTCAGCAAATATTCAGAAAATGAAGGATCTAATTTAGCTTTCATATTTTAAATCAATGGTAGTTGTGTGAAAGAAGGCCACAGATGTGAAAAAACTAAACTTGCCTTCATTATATCCTCTTTTATTCCTCTCTGTACTACTGGTAAAACTTGACCAAAATCTCCTCGACACACAATGACTTTTCCACCAAACAGCATTGGACATTCAGTAATATCTTGTAACATTTTATCCAAAACTTCAAAAGCATATTTATGAACCATTGGCGCCTCATCCCATATAATTAGTTTAGAAATTGACAAAAGTTTACCAAGTGCAGATTGTTTACTCACCGAACAGCACATATCAGAACTTATTTGAAGTGAAATTTTAAATCGTGAATGTCGGGGTAGCACGCACAAATCCCGCACATTTGTGCGGGCTACCCGCACAAATTGTGCGCACAGGTACCCACACATAATTGTGTGGGGTAGCCTGCACACCCTCACAAAGTACGGTTACCCTGGCACATAAATGTGCAAAATGTCCCCCCTCGTGCGGTACCCACACAAATCTGTAGGACACGACATTACTCGCACAAGGGGTATACCCCACATCTTCATTACTTTTTCTAAATACTATCAACAATATTTTGATTTACATGAAATTTTAAATAAAATATATATTATTTTGGTTAATGATTAGTACAAGAAACAAAAAAAAAAGTATTATCTCTTTCTTTCATTTTTTGTTCCCAAAAAATCTTGCAAAATATTACAAATCTTGTAGAGTCATGAGAATCCTGTTAGAAGGTGCCAAAATCACTGCACATATTATGTCTATTTCTACAACTGTGAAAATGCTTTGTCTATTCTACGTGTGAACCTCTCATCAAATCATTGAAAAAGTAACGTACATTTCTTTAGCTTTAATATCTTCATATACCATTTGTTCTCACCAAAAAAATTTAAATATTTTTACATGCCACTAACACTAGCCCAACTTTGCTCAAAAAATTCAGGTGTTGTCTATTCTTTTTTTCTTACCTTTTTAGATAGATTTTTAGTTTTACATAATGTCTAATTTTCAATATTTAATTGTGTTTTAAATCATATGATGTATGTAATTCTTTCTAAATTTAGTAGACACAAAAATGGATGTGCCACATAGTTTCTCCAAAATCATTGATGTTTTACTAAATCATAACATTTGTTTTGTAAGTTATATAATAATTTCTTTTTTCAGATTTTTTAAAATCTTTTATTAATATTAATGTACAACTTATATTTTTTTCGTATTTGTAGATGCTTCCTACATCTTTTATCAATTACTGGGAACCAGAATTAGGTAACACACTACGATTAACTGCATATGATGGTATAATTGTCACAGTACAGTTAGAAGGAATTGACGGAGAAATATATCTGGCTAATGGATGGGAAGAATTTTTCGATCATCTTAAGTTACAAGATGGTTATGTTATAGTATTTGAATCTAATGAAAATTCAATGTTGAATATGAGGATATTTGATCATTCTAGAGCAGAGATTACATATGGCTCCAATTATGAATTAGACGACGACGATTTAAATATGGATAATCCTGTGTTTGAAGTAAAACTAACGCTGGATCATAACAACCATCGAGAAATTGTAGATTTTATTTTTAATACGTCATTCTATATTTACCTATTCCACATCATTCTTAATAATAGTAAAACATTAATCTGTGTTTTTCAGTCTATACCAGAAAGGCTTGCAAAACACCATTTGCTAAGACATGCGTAAAATATTCGAATCCTCGACTCTTTACTTCACTACTGGAATATCACTGCAAATTCCAGAGGAAATGGTGTAATGCACTAGTTTAGTGTAGGTTGGGCAGATTTTCTAGCATAAAAGCAGCTACAAATTGGCAATACATGTGCATTTGAACTATTATATAGGGAATCTCAAATATTTATGGTTTACAAAAAAAACCATAACAATAGGACTCTAATACGTCTATAAAAATTTTTTTACTAATGATATTCCTAGCCAATAATGTTTAATTTGTATATTTATCTAGCAGTTAATTATCTCATCGACAGTTTCATAGACTACATTTTTTCCTTTCTTTTTACTGCAGTATTTTTAACTAAAATATAACATTCTTTTCGCCTATAGTATTGATGTTTTAGGTTAATTCTGTCACCATCAGAATTTATCCTCTCGTATTTGAGTATATTGAGAATTCGACCTTTGGTTATGCATAAGAGATCGTGTATAACTCTCTTGAGAAAGTGTTGCTATTTTGCTGAATTTGAATTTTGGCTTCCAAA